ATACCAATAATAAACGAATGTTGACTTTTACTTCGTTATCTCTCTACTTTTTCCTGATAATTAATGAACGAGGCTCTAACAACTGACTGATGACGCCAAATCCATCCAAGAACGCTAAGTCTAAATTTCACAAATTGACCTCAAAAACTACTAGTCAAACCTTGATCAAAATTACCACCAACTTTCAAATAAAAAAAGAATCATCAAAATCCGTTCACCTAGAAAAAAGACAGACACAACAGAAAATACAGTCGAATTGAGTACCTCCTGCTTTTTGAAGACGGCTAACAAATAGAATGTTGTCTAAAGAGTTACATTAAAATTATATTATTTCATTTTAATTTTAATTTACATTCCCTTCCATTCACAGATTAGGAGGGATTTTTTTTCTCCAAATTAATGTATATGTTTTTATACCTGAATAATAAAAAAAGAATAATTAAAATTGCTTCACAATTGACGAATATACAGTGTGCTACATACGAGTAGAACATTCAGTCAAATTGAGAATCTTCTTTTTTTGAAGTTGGCTAAAAATAGATAGTATATTTTAAATTATTAAGATAAAAATATTCTTACATAATTATATTTTTCTCAATCATCTTAAACATGAAATGAAAGCGATTCCTCGTAAATGTTAATATTGAAAAAAAAAAGCTCTTAAAAACTAAATATTGGTTCATAAAAATAATAACAAAGGGGATAGTCGAACGTTCCAAAATTCTAATTATTATACGAGTATGTTGTGGGTTTTTCATAATTTAAGCACAGTGTGGACTGTACTTAACCAGGCCACTAAAACTTTAGTAAATTGACCCACTAAAATGTTTGTTAAATTAAAATCTCTATGGCTTATACAAACCAAGGAAAGTTTGTTTTCGATGTAATGCGGTATACATAAAGATAATAATTAGATGTTATTAATTGTGACAACAAAAAGGAACGAGAATATGTGGGCGTATGCTGGATTTGTTTTATCGTGTATTTGACATATTGGTTTTGTTGTGTTGTGAAAGAGATAATAAACAGTAAAACAACCGTATGATTCCGCTTATGTCCGCCGCAGATACCAACTCTGTCCCTATTCTGATTAATATGCTTGCCGTACAACCATGTTGATTGTAAACGACTTTTTTTACTTTGTAAGCTCTCTTTATGAATCTACCATTGCTATATTAGTATAAAAGACATCTAAGTTTATTCAATGAATGAAGAATATTATATAGAATTTATTAATTGAAATAACATTAAAAACTATAATAATACTAAAAAAAATTGAAAACTAGAAACTTAATTATCGTATAGTCCTACTCCCCGCGGTTACGTGCCAAGAACGCTGGCTGCGTTTCCCCGCTGAATGGCAATGCTTAGCCTTTTAGCGAGAAAGGAACCAGCCCTTTTATCACCAGCAACAACGACCAGCTAATAATAAACCATCGAAGTAATAATTATTTGGAGACATTACTTTAGACACTCATCTGGTGATCTTTTTGTCTACCTGACTCACCGATGGATGAAGGCAGTCATGACCAAGAGGGCCTTGGTGGTTAGATCGGACGTAGCTTTACCTTTGGTCGTTATTGACTCAAAGCGCTTCTTTCGAAGCTGTCCTCCTATATGAGTCTCTGGAAATTATACAACCGGTAACCAGTTTTTTGCAGATTGGAGCTTCAAGGTCGTAGTCGACGGTGCATGTTTTGACACTAGCCACAAGATTGCGTGCTTTCGTCTACCCTGTTCCTTCTGCATATCAATGATATGTTGCATACTAGTAACATTCATTGTTAGACAACAGTACTAGCGGTACTTTATACACCGGCCGTGTTATATTTCTCAGAAACATGTAGAGTGCCGAAACAAACTTTTGTCTGAAGTCGAGTCTTTCTTAAACAAATTTTTGAACTGGGTGCAACTAACTCTAGTCTAGTATAACTCTCATAAGTCACAGGTTTGCGTTATTTACCGCTAAAAGTGAGGAAATACGACCTAGGGGAGTCGTCTTTGTCGTATCTACGGACAATTTCAGGACACTCCCATTGTAACAACAACCAGCATCGCAATCCTCGGCACGACATATCGAGTGACGTATGATCGATACGTTACACAGTCACTTGGAAGGGAAGCTGCCATTGAAAAGCTTGGCGTGTGGTGTGATATTTATGAAATACATTAAATGAAACTAATTTTACGAATTTTATCGCGTTAAATTTTACTTTTTAATTCCCGAAGTTTCGGGTGCTTTACAGCACCCATGGTCACGGGGGAGGAGGGGGGAGGGGGGGCTGAGGTGTTTGACGTCCCGATGTTATAGTTAGCCTGGCTACCTTCCGTTTTTGAATATTAATTTTTGGTCCGATCTACGCAGATTGTATCTTGAAGTCTTGCAGTGGTATGGTTGGGTTTGGATTTAACTTTATTAATTATATGATCCCACGCAGATGGTAGCACCCATCCATCTTTTCTATTGAAATTAGGATATTTTTTAATTTCAATTGCCTCACGAATCATGCTTGGTAGGAGGTACCAACATCAAAAGTGGGACGTTTGATCCGTGGTTTTTCCACCTGCGATGCACATGCGATGCGATTACGGTAATTATTTTTACCGGACAATCCCACAGGAGACGGGCTAAACGGGCTAATTTGGAAAGAAAAAATATTTCATTTTCAACTTATAGTAAAATGGTACTTGAATAAAATTAATCACATTTAGCAAATCGATAAAGAATAAATACTGCTTACATTTTCCAAAATTTGTTTAACCAATAATTGCACTTTTTATATAAAAACAAAAAGTGTTTTCTATTACGTATATACTTACGCCTTTATTATCTTGCAAAGACGTATTGGTATCACTAAAATAAATAACAGCGTAATGAACCTGTATGCGGTTCTGCTTTATGTCGGCCGCAAACGACATAGTCTGTTTTTGTTCAGTCTAATACAGCAAAAAGAGTCATGCAATGCGCTTTCGCAGACCCTGGGATGTAACTGTAATAACTACTTATATTTCTGTTTTTGAAATAGATGATGGACTTTATTTGAATTGAAATATGAAAGGAAATGAACTTTTTAGAGCGAAACAATAGTAAATGTTTATTGAACCAAAGAATTCAAATGTATTGTAAGCATTTTCTGCTTATGCCTTTGAGTGTGTACATTCTTCAATTTGGCACGATCTTGACACACCTCTCTTGGTTTTTTCACAGCCATATTTATCTACGCATTCGTGCTTGTTTGTTTATTTGTTTATTTATTAGGATTACCAACAGAAATTACAACAGTAATACAAAGATCATTTTCATATCAAATTCAACACATTATAATTGTATTTCTTTTTATGGGTAATCACAACATGCATTGATTATTTTGTAAGGAATAAAAGCTGAATTACATCATTGAATAAATACAATACTTATACTTGTCGGTATAAGTACTCCTTATTTGGCTCATCTTCAATTATATCGCCAATTTAATCAAATACTCTTCTGTGACAATATTATTGTAGACAGCAAGCTAAATTCAAAATTTTAAAATGATTTATCTGACATTAACAGACATAGTCAATAGACGATATTGTTTTTTTTTTACAAAAATTAAGTATTTTATGTAAATTAAATTCTGTTCTATCGCAAAAACGTTACGTCGGACATAGGTACATCAGGAAGAATGAGTACTTTTGTAATCGTACTCATTTATGCACTTATATCGCCACTGCACATTTGATAACTTCAGGCTAGCATTCGCAAGATGTTGCTGATCGTTGTCGAATTGGCCAGGAGAATATCGTGTGATTGTATCATGCCCTCATATACACATACATGTGCACGCAATGACAATATCTACGTTACATCGTTCGTTACGTTGAAAAGGTAGAGTATCTATAGAAACGATGCTAGTAAAAATTACCAAAATTGTAAAAAAATGCTGTAATAAGCTAAGACTAAATGCTTCTGGCATTTATTAACAGCTTACTACTATTACAATACCACTATTAGAATATTACGAACAATGTAGCATTCAAGTTCTGAAAATAGAGATAATCTGCATACACGTACTTTCCAAGGGTATAAGTTAATAAATACATGATAACATTTTATGTCTTTTGAATAATACATATTTTTTATACGATAAGAGCGACAAACGAGCCTACAGTCCACCTGATGGTAAGTCGCTGTAGCCCATAGATATCTACATCTACCCTCGATTACAAATCAAAATGCAAATGCGTTGTCAACCGTGAGGACTAAAATGGAATGCCTCGTTTCCAGTAAAAGGGTCTCTCCACACTCACCATACGAAACACAGCGGTGTTCAGCTGCTATTTTACGCTGGTATTCTGTGAGTATGTTAAATTGTGTAAATTTGGTATATTAAAATTGGGCTTCTTCTGGATAAACAAAAACTTTACTAAAGACAAAACAGAATGGTCGTAATTCTGTAATTTATTTTTATCGTTGCCTTTTAACCTGTGGTGGATTCCGTACAAAGGGGTTAATATTCTTGGCTGTTTAGTATATATGATTATTTCTATGTCCTCCTGCGACTCCGTAACTAGTCGTGGAATTCTTACAAATTATAACTCAATCAATTCTTCTTATTTATCAGCACGTAAAATTCTACTGCTGAGAGCGCGAGCCCCGCACCCGTGAGGATTAAGATGGAATGCCGCAGTTCCAGTGAAAAGTGTTTCCAGTTCTCTACCCTCACCATACGAAACACAGCAGCGTTAAGCTTCTATTTTACGCTGGTATTCTGTGAGAGCGTGGCCCTTCCCCGGTCGAGCCAACCCATTTGTGCTACAACTATACCACTAATATGGCTGCAGCATGGCTCTGCCACGTTTAAAACTGTAAAATACTTTTACCAATTTTATATTTTTAAGAAACTTTAAATATTGGGTAGGTGGGCAGTAACCCCACGCTATGCCACTCTGATAATGCTTCATAAATTAAAAAGGTACATATATTTTTGTTCTAGGAGAAGCGCACGAATTCAACCATGAATGCCGCAGCATCTTACCACAGCATAGTCTTCGTTCTAACCATATTCGCAATTTTCTTTACGGCGGTTATCGCTGTCCCAATGGTAACATAAATGTTTGATTATGTACATTGAAATATCTTTTCATTACCAATATATAATCATAAAAACCTTACCCCTTCCTTATCTGTTAAATTAATTTTATAGGAATCGGATGACGAACAATCTGAAAACGCGATAGCCTCTAGACCGGAAAGTCCTGACGGCTCTGACATGGCCGCACCATGGGACCCTTTTAATGCGGCAGCGCTGCGCAAGTTACTTGTACAACTCGACGCTGAAGAAAGGTAATTAATATAATTTAAACGTTTCACGCTATATCCTTTCATCAACCGAATTCAAAAAAGGAGGACGTTCTCAATTCGTCGGAATTTTTTTATTTATGTATGTTCATCGATTACTCGAAGACGCCTGAACTGATTTGAAAAACTTAGCATACAATATTTTTATTCAATTATTTAGAAAAATAAAGTTTGCCGTTTCGTATACCCCGTGGTATGGAGAAAAGAACGATATTTTACTTCCAACCTTGGATATAAATCATATCTCTTTAATCTTAGACGCAATAATTTAAAAAATAATTCAAAATCATTTATATATTATTTTTGAATAAAGCTATACCTAATTATATATAATTTTGTATAAGTAAAATAATCATAATACTTCTATGTAAGTTATGATACACAAAAATTCTGCGATACTCCAGTGTTAATTGGCGGACTTCCCATGCACTCGAAATTCTGTTGTTGAAATAATATGAGATACTCAACCCCAAAGTCTTATATATTATTTCCTCGAACACAGAAAACGTATTTAAGTTGTGTGCATATTATTTATAAGATTATAGACTAAAATATTATGTAGTTTTCTATACATATTCGCAACTGATTTTGTTTTAAAGTAATTACTTATCTATTACTATTATCTTAACTGGTTTTGTATTAAACTATAAAGCAAACTCGTTGATGACACGTGATAAAAGTCCTTAACTTGTTGAAACCGCTAATTCGATTCAACCTCAGAAAAGTTAACGTAATTTTTCTGATAAAATCCATTATGTTACATGTAATGCTCTTAAGTATCTCTTAAGTTGTTGATAATGTTTTAATATACCTAGATATTTTGATATTTTTTTTTACATTTATACTTTGACGGTAGAGAACTGCAAGGCATAATAGTGGCTTTACTTTTCGCATCATCTCATATAGGTACAGTCTATTACTAACTAACCTTTTTCACAGCATCGAGGAATTTTGTTGCTAATGGTTCTCTTATGTGACGAATAATCGTCACGTAAGGGAATCAGATCGTTAAGTTAATAAAATGAATCCACACTCATCCTTTGAAGCTTTGTTTGGAAAACTATTTTATAATCTAAATGATAAAATGAAAAATAGATAATAAGAGTTATTACAGTACCTACACAGTATTCAAAAAGTAAGTAAAGAAATTCAATCTATAGACACAAGAAAATCCCCTTCGAAAGTTCAAATGTATGATAATTTATACAAAACTTTAAAGTAACTTTAAATTGTTTCTACACCCATCTACTGACATAATTTCGTACGAGATTAGAACTAATAATTAAACTACGAAACACGATACTCGTTAAATAACAAACTGTTGGAAAATTGTAATATTCTTTTAGAAAAATGATCTGTTTATATATAGAAAGATGATTAAAGTCTATATTTTTTTATATGATAAGGGTGACAAACGAGCACACAGTCCACCTGATGGTAAGTGGTTGCTGTGGCCCATAGATATCTGCATCTATCCTTGATTACGAATGAAAATGCAGATGCGTGGTCACCCATGAGGACTAAAATGGAATGCCTCGTTTCCAGTAAAAGGGTCTCTCCACATTCACCATACGAAACACAGGTAAACACAGAAAATGGACCTTTATCGTTGTAGGGAGGATTTGCCATAGTCTAATTGTGCCAATAGTCTTACACTTTTGACATATCTGATCGGTGTACTTAAGTATGGCGTTAGTGAGTAAGTTATACCGCCATCATCGGAAGCCACGATAATTTTCCGACATTTCTTTTAGTTGTCTTTTAGTGTCACCCACGGGACAATATTATGAAGATCTCGTCCTTTAAGTTCAATTCACTACTGCGAGTAGAGTGGAGATGTTACTCTGGTCTACTTATTAAAATATAATGAATTCTGAAACATTTCATCTGCACAACAGAATCCCACATCGCTCATGTCCCAATTTGCCAACTCTCATACCACAATGTTTTAATAAGATTCCCGCATGAAACTGTATGATGATGACGGAAGAGTATCCCTAACTCCTATAAATATACAATTACATACGCTCGTCATCTCGACATCTCGTCGCTTTGTAAATAACAACTATAGTAATGCAAATGAAAATTTTCCAAATATAAGCTTAAGCAACGTTTCAGCTTTATATCCATTGGCTTCATACGAACACCAATATCCTAATACTGTCGGAAATTATAAATCCAGCTACGGACGACATATTATTATAAGCCACTGATGCACACAGAGTATTGCTCTATAAATTTACCCATCTCCAATGTAAAGCTAATTTGATATGGCGAGACATTGACAATAGTTTTGGATGTAATGTTAGAGGCACGAGCATAATCACGACAGTAACAAACTAGATACATATTTAGAACAAATATACAAGCTGTGTCCTACATGCGTCGCAATGTCTTCTTTTTGACAGAAATGTTCAACAATCGGATGAAACTTAAAGACGGAACGGATACGGAACAAACAAACTTTTATTTTACATATATTTACATCTATCTTCTTTCCCAATTAAATATGTCTAATAAATGCATAAATAAATGTAAGAGTTTATTATGATTCATTTCATTTAACTTTTTTTTTAGGCTTGGACGCGTTGGTCGCTCGTGGCCTCAGGCTGAACCTCGAGGCTGGAGCCTACGCGCACTAGACGGTCGCTTAGCGAGGCAATGGCGCGCTGACAAGAGGCAAGTTCGCTTCCGACAGTGCTATTTCAACCCTATCTCCTGTTTCCGCAAGTGAACAGACAGGAACTACTACGCCCGATGCCAAATGACGTAATGCTCCTAATTGTGGTGTAACAAATTAAGCATGAATAAAAATAGTTTCTAATTATTGTTCCCTGTAAGTTTCCCTTTAATCACTACCATTAATATATAATTTACATTATGTAAATAATTGGAGGCAAATGTTATAACATTGAAAAACTACCAAATCTTTAATATTTCAACCAATATATTCTTCAATTTCAATTAATGTATCTACTTCTGTTTTATATATAAGCTACGTATAGTTGTTGACGTGCAAACTTTTTTACTTAACACTACAGTTAACGTAAAATATATTATTAAATTATAAACTAGTGCAATTAGACAATTCTAGACGCGATTCTTGTCACAAGCAAGTTCTTGCCAAGTCACTTAATGGTAATTTATATGAGATATTGGTCAATGTGCATTAATTAAGATATTAAATATAATCAATAAAGTGAATGTTTCTCTACAGATGTGTTATTATTTATTTCATCAAAAAAATTAGGCTGTTTAATATTTCCATATTCCAAATTTCAAGTACCTGAAGTAAAGAAAATATTTTCCGAGAAATGCTTTCCTGATGGCACTTTCTTCTATGACTTTAAAAACGCTGGAAATGACGATGATAATGATAATGATAGTGATAATTTATTTATTAATTTTACTATATTTATATATATTTATGTACATATATTATTTATCATTTTCATTTATGTATTTATACAGTCCAACCAAATGAGAAAACTACATAAATACCTCATAAATGATAATGAACATTTACATAAGCTGACTTAAGTTGGTTTAATCTCGCCCATGATTGAGGAGATTTTATTACTTTGACTTGTTGTCAGAAAGATGCTGCTGCCCATCTCCTCTTTCGATTTCCCTCTCTCGTCTCTAATGATATCCACGGGACGATATGGGGTAGTGGATATTCTTACACCACGACTACACGGTTTAATCGGTATATTTGTATACAAAATCACTATACTTACCTCAAAGATATATATATTCTTCTATAATATAAAAATGAATCGCTGAATGTGTTGCTAAGCGCAAATCTCGAGAGTAGCTGAACCGATTTCGCTAATTCATTTTTTATAATATTCCTCGAAGTACGAAGACGGTTCTTACGGAGAGAAAAATTGCCTGAAAAAGTATAAAAACAACACTTTTTTATATTCCCATACAAAAGATTCGTAATAATACTTAAAAGTCAATTTGAACTTTAATACCATACCATAAAATTTAAGTGTTAGTGGAGAGGTTCCGGGAAGGCAAAAGAATTATAATTTTCATTTTTTGACATAATGTAATTGTTGACTTATCAACTTTCTTTTTTCTTTTTTTTTTCTAACTAGCTCACCCGGTGTCCCCAATAGCAGAATAAGTATTAAAAAAAATAAAAAATCGACTGTTAGGCGGTACGAAGTTCGCCGGGTCAGCTAGTATATATATTCCATTATTCTAATATACATGTAAGATAATAATCCCATTCTTCTCTTGTTAAAATTGTTATACTGAGATATAAGTGGTCACTTTAGTAAATTTAATTACCATGAGCTTAGAGCTGGGGCTGAGGCTCCTATGGAAATTCGCCACATTCATTTAAGATTCACGATGCTCGCGAGGCGAGTTGGTGAGATTATTTTAATATTCAGATACAAACTATAGGTATAAAATAAATAATTAGCTGATGTTTTCTTCTCTAAGACTTAACCAAAGATTTAACATTTTAACATCGATTCCCCTTATATACGAAAACATTTAAATCTTAAATATTGAAAAAATCTTTCTACGTATTACTTACTTGATACAGATGGACACAAATTAAAGACAATTATGTCTTATCCCAAACAACCGTTACAATATAATTTATTATAATAATAGTGTTAACACATTACGTAGATATTTATGTACGTATGGAGATTTAATGTAGTTTTTTACAATATTGCGTGTTTAAAAACTAATAAATATCATTTCTGCAATACCGATCATATTGAAAGCTTACTCAAGGATCTATACTATACTTTTCTTTTCTTTCATTGTTCTTTCTTCTTTTAACAAAACGTTATATACACACTAGGATTTTCTCCTGTGTCGTGCAGTTTATAATGATATATTTTACAAGGACAAACATCCAGAGCAGGAACAATCATTTGTAGGCCATACAAATACTTGTTCCGTGCGGGATTCCAACCCGCTGCCCTTACGGCTGTAACTCACTGCGCCACGGAGCCGTCACCATAAATCTAGGAGTATGATTTCTGTACAATGAATACCTTATATTTTCTACCGACTTCAAAAAGGAGACAGTACTCAATTCGACTGTATGTTTTTTTATATGGCTCCTCATAACTTTTTACTGGGTGAACCGATTTCGATGATTTTTTTTAAAAGCTGGTGCTTCACATGTGGTCCCATATAAATTTATGATTTCATCAGGATCTGATCTGATTATACAGCAACATGTGTCGTATATTTTTAATGATCCATACTTAAAAACACAAACGAAACTTTTTTAACAAATTTGGTCTGTTGGTCTATCATGGCTAGCTTTCCCAATGAATAGTAAATATTGACTTGAAATTTGGCATATAATTTGTTATTTTTGATGTAAGAATTTGCTATAATTGTTTTATTATTATACCGTTTAAAACAGCTTAGCTTAAATATTCAAAATACTTTTTTTCTACATATCCCATTACTTTATGAGCCCTAAATGTCAAAAGAATAATCATTCCCCCCGAATCATTGAAGTTTGCAAACTAAGAAACTCTATAGTAATATAAATTACTGTAATTATTAATCCTTCGCTTTCGTCGTGTGGTGGCCGCACAAGAGAATCCACTACACCGTATGTATAATTCCGAAGGTATGAGTAAGAGATAGCAGCATCTTCCTAGTAACAACTTAAGATAATGAAAAACCGTGGTTGACAACCCGACTGCTAACTAAAGCAATCTTTGTAGGTAGCCTATGTTCAACAGAGAACATTGATAGCCTGTAATGATAATGATGATTAACCCTATTCTTAATTCCTCTTTCGTATTTTCTTAGTACATATTTTACTGTACTAAGTTTTTATATAAATTATTATACGCAACCCTCAGTGTTTGAGTCATACATCCACTTGATTAGTATTAATTATGAAATTACATCTTATATAAGTATAAACATCAATCTATTATTATTTGAGATGGAACAAAAGTTTTGTTTTTAAAATTAAATATAAGCTCAAAGTAATAAAGCTTTAAATTTTCCGGTTATTTACCTAGCCAACTTACTAGGCTTTAAAACAATCGAAGAAAATCATTCCGTTGATAAATAGTCGCGAGCATCCATGTCCTATAATATGTTATTAGATTATACCTCTATTTATTTATATCTCTATATACATAGTATAAATCAAAGTCGCTTCCCGTCGTCTGTACGCTTAGATCGTTTAAACTACCAAACGTATTTTGATGCGATTTTCATCAACTCAAGAGGAAGGTTTAAATGCATAATACATGCTTATTATTATATATTATATAATTATTCTGTCCGTGTCTATGTGATTGAACTCCCCTTAAACGGCTGGACCGATTTTGATGAAATTTTGGGTGTGTATTAAGTTGAATAGAGAATAGTTCACAATTGGACCCGGTAGGTGGCGTTGTTGTAGAGATCCAGAAATCAACCGCTCGAAGCCGGACGGATAGTTCATTTTAAGTCGATATTTAAAAAAAATTGAATATATACCAATACTCGTCTTACATAAACGTGAAGTCCTAAAACTTCTTAAAAATAAGTTGTATACTAATGTATACACTTTTGTTAGATTTTTAGAATATTACATTATTTTTAAGATATTTTGCACTTTCCCTATAAATGGAAGCAGCCGATATTGCTTTCTTAGCTTCTTAAAAGATTAAGCTCAATGTCGATGCCAGGTAACAAGCTAAAGTAAAACGTCACATATTATCTTATAAACTTATACTGCAATAAAAATAATCTTATCCAAATCTGAAAGGTTCAATTGGTACAGTGTCCTATAAATAGTTATTATGCCTTATGATAGTATAATTGTAGCTGATTAGAAATGCCTACAGCTTTGTTTTAAACCTGTGAAAGATTTTTATGTTTTTAGGGTTCCGTACTTCAAAAGAAAAAAACGGAACCCTTATAGGATCACTTTGTTGTCCGTCTGTCTGTCTGTCTGTCAAGACCCTTTTTCTCAGGAACGCGTGGAGGTATCAAGCTGAAATTCATATCAAATACTCAAGTCTACTGTCCCTTGGAGCTGTGAAAAAATCAAACTTCTAAGCCAACGCAATCGAAAAATACAGCCGTTTATGCCGCAAATTTTCGACGTTCGCAAGAGAATCAAAACCTACAGGCTACTTCGCCTGAACTCAGAATCTTAAAATTTGGTACGAAGCAACGTATATATAGCACAGATAAAGAAAAAATTGCGGAAAACATAAATTTTTAGTTACATCATATAATAAAAATATTTATGTGCGCGAGTCCGACTCGCACTTGGCTGGTTTTTTTTTATATTTGAACGCTGATGTCAGATATCAAAACAATATTAATTATTAATTCTACAATGGAAACGAACTCGCGATATCAACGGACTACGCTTGCTTTATTGCGTTATGTTTTGTTTCTTATTAAATAATGAGTGCCGCGTTGGTCTAGTGGTCGTAAACGCGATTGCTGATTATGAGGTCACCGGTTCGAATTCCGGGTCGGGCCAAAAGCAGTTATTGTGTTTTTCTGTCAAGAAATTCTCAGTAACAGCCCGGAGCTAGAAAGTTGGCAGTATTTCTCCCTGTGTCTCGGAAAGTGCGAAAAGCCGTTGGTCCAGCGCCTGATCTCGAATCGAGTTGAATCACCGTCCCATCGGACTATGAGAGTAAGGAAATAGAGAGTGCACCTGTGATTACGCATACACTTGGCCATTATCATTCTGTCTTGCGCTGAAGGCTAGTCTCCGTTGTG